GCAAAAAACTCAATAGGGCTTATATAGATTAAAACACAATGAAACATCCACAATTGAAAGATTATCACACATTAGCACAAAATATCAAACATTTCCTAAAACTCTTTTTAAACAACACCTCTGATCTGCCGTCACTAACTAGATGTGAAAACTGGCTCCAGAATTTACAGCCTATGTATCGTAGGCAAAACTGAGCTCTTGATGTGACAAATTTTGGAACATGAAAATTAAAGTTTTGTATCTATGAATCTCTGCATTGTTTTTAAAATAAAATGTGTAATGTTTGGGGATAGTTGTTGAATTATAAACAATTTTATACATAAAAATACTAATTTGATAAATATTAAGAATGTTGAGGTTGGTGAATAAATGAGCAGACGATGTTAGTTGCACAAGAAAAGGTTTAACAAACACTTCTAGTATCACAGCCATGAATTGGACATTATTTTTATTGAACCGCATCAAATCAATTTGAAATATCATATCCAACGGAAAGTGCACTGTATCGAGATATGTATCGTATCATAGCCTACGTATCAAAGTATCATATCGGCAGCTTCTTAATGATACTCAGCCCTACATTTAAGATTAAGCATGTTGTATTTTGGCCACTTTTTAGGTTTAAAATTTTACTTCCTAGTTGGAAATTATGATATCAGGTTAGGGAATTCCTTAAATGTGACAATATCGAATCGTGAGACTTGGATATCGTTACACCCCTACTTCAGGTATGTTTTTGATGAGGAAACGACATTATAACATAGATCAGAAAATAGCATAGTATGGACCTTTTAATGTTCCTGGACACAGATAAATAACGTGGATTGAGGAAAAAATACTCTTGAAGTAATAATCTTGAAATAAAGAAATAGATCAAATTAAAATTGTAGTTAAAAAATATAAACAAATAACAAAATTGAACATAATTCGCAAATTGTTGATCCATAACGCGGATAGCGGAATGTCAAACTTGCAGGATATATAAGGGCGGTTATGAAGGCTGACTTAAAGATAAGACGACGTAAAAACTCTTGGACTATGTGTGTGTGACATAAACAGATCAAGAAACACGAGCTACGCAACAGTTCAGAGAGCAAAGGAAACTCTACACTGACAGCGTATGTGGCAGGACCCGAGGAGCAAGTTAAGGTCATGTTCACAGATATCTACTTCAGCCACTTCAGTCTACTTCAGGTGCATTGTGCAACTTTTTCAGCGGAGGGTCACCTGTTTGTTTCTATGGATATGTCACTGCTCTGCCTGGAATGTTCCACAGTGTGATGTTAACCAGCTCTACCCTGCATTTCTTCGATTACAGGTGGTTTTACGGCTCGAAAATACAGAGAAAAACAGGCATTCTGACGGTGAGCGGGGTCGCCTCTCCACAGATCTGACCTGGATTTTGGGCTGGTTTGGTCTCCATGAAGACAGAAAGGTTTAATGCCATACTTTGAAACATTCCAGATAAAGCAATAACATTTAAATCAAGAAAAGTATTTGAGGGACCATCCAGCAGAAAAGTTACACAATGCACCTTTAAGGATGACTTCAAGTGTCTATAACAGGTTGAACTACTCATTTTTTTTACAAAAACTTACATTTAAATTTAAGTAGCGGTGTGCAAAAATATAAATATATCGTATCGTTTAATGTGATGATATCAGGGACTGCTGTATCAATATATCACCAAGAGTATTTTTGGTATATTTTACTAAATTATTTTGTTACAGAGCTACAGTTTTGTTGCTTGTTTAGAGGAAGGAAACTCATTTGTGCAACACATTTGACATTTTCACTGTTCTGATGATTAAAATGGGTGTGTTTTATATAAACTTTGGACAAAAAGTGGTTTAACAAAGACTTGATAGTCATGATTTGGATTATTTTTTTTATTGAATCGCATCGAATCAATTTGAAATATATCGTATCGGACCGAAAGTGCACTGTATCGAGATGTGTATCGTATCGGCAACTTCTTAATGATACCCAGCTCTACATTTACGATTACCGTATTTTCCAGGCTACAGGGCGTGCTCTTAAGCCTCCAACCCCATCAAAAAACGACCATGCGCCCCACAATCCAGAGCGCCCTATACATGAATCCACTCAGGTGTTCCAGCACGACTTTAGTAAACTACAAAGCCACACCACCCGCAGAACACGCAAACACATGGAGCAGACAGCGACCACACAGCAAAAAACACCCACAGCCACACTCATCACTCCACGCCGATGAGGAACGGAACGGAGGAATGAACCGAAAAAGCGAACACTATGTGCCACTTCTATCCACAACTGAACAACTGAGTCACTGCGAACACGCCGACAATCCAGCGGTCCCAGACAGCACCCTGCCTAAACGCCACAACTGAACAAAGCAAAGAGTCACCGTGAACGCCACAAACAAAGTCCCACTCACCCATCCAACTGTTGTGTTTCGTTTAAAGTCCGGTTCGGTTTATTTGTGAAAAAAGTTCGAAAATAGACGCCTTATAATCCAGACTGTCCTATAGTGCGGAAAATACGGTCAGCTTTTCCCACTTTGGCCACATTTTAGGTTTAAAATTTTACTTCCTACTTGGAAATTATGATATCCGGCTAAGGAATGCCTTAAATGTTAACCTCGCAATGATCTTATACAGTGGTTTAAAACTCCTCTAATGTACACAGAAATTTTTTTTTAACTATATTAACAATTAATATTAACAAATAAAAATAGAAGAAAACACATTTATTTTCTTGAATTAATGTTTAAAGTATCAGAAAAATATGTTTCTTCTTAAATTGTGCTAAACGTTTGGATAGACTCCCTAGTGTGATGTCGTCAATGCATTTTAGAACTCTCCACTTCCTGTAAATTTCAACATTCAATATTTCAAAATTGGCCGACTAACACTGAAATGCTCAACTGCAGTGTCTCTCTTAAAATATATTACACAAAACAGTCTCTTCAAGCTTCAAACCATGTTATTGCCTCATCAAAAAATTGAGTTGTGTTTTGTTTCATTCACACATGTTTGAGCAATCCTGCATTTTTAGTCCGTCTACAGCTCCAAAGCTCAAATATTGCACTATTTCCTAATCTGTGTGATAATGTTGATATAATTTCCTCATCACAAACAAACCTGGAGTTGTGTTTTGCTTCATTCACACATGTTTAACACTAATAATAAAGGATTGAAAGAAACAAAACACAACTCCAGGTATGTTTTTGAGGAGGTAACATCATTTTAACATGGCTTAAAACTCATAAGAGTCCATTCTGTGTATTATAGAACCTTTAAAGGAAAGGCACGTGTAAAATGACTGAGGGAGTTGTGTCACTGAGAGCTGTGTCAAGCTGGAATTTTCTCATGAACTTATTAACAACAGGCACCAAAGATAAGACTAAATAATGCTGATAAAACAGTTTCCATTTCAAATAAAGTTATGTTTCAAGGATGAACCACTGAACAATGGTAAACACTATAGAATATCTTATTTAGTAGAACAATGAAGCGCCAAAAAGTTTTTCATCATTTCATCATTTTTTGAGATGGTGTGCATGTGTGTGTGTATGTATGTATGCGTGTATGTAGGTATGTTTGTATGTGTGTATGTAGGTATGTATGTATGTGTGTACGTAGGTATGTTTGTATGTGTGTATGTAGGTAGGTATGTATGTGTGTATGTATGTATGTGTGTATGTAGGTATATTTGTATGTGTGTATGTAGGTATGTATGTATGTGTGTGTGTATTTATGTGTGTATGTATGTATGTGTGTATGTAGGTATGTATGTATGTAGGTATGTATGTATGTAGGTATGTATGTATGCATGTATGTGTGTATGTATGCTTGTATGTATGAGACTTTATATTGAAAAATTGTCACCCCTCCCTCTGTAACTGCTGCAGCAAGCTTCGTCTTTTTGGTCTTAAAATGTCCATATTAGCTCACTCTTGATCCTGGTGTTTTTGTTTTGCCAATTTAGGGCGTGTCCACACAACATTTTTTGGTCGAAATGGAGAAGTTTATATTTGTTTTGGCCTTTCGTCCACACGGAGCCGGTGTTTTGGTTGGGCGAAAACTGTGTTTTTTGAGAACGGGTTCCAGAGTGGAGAAATCTGAGAACGCTGGCATTGCGTTGTCGTGTGGACAAGCAAATCGCAGCTTTTGGAAAATGATGACATCACGACCCCGTCATCGGCACAGTCCTCCGACGCAGCGAAGGCAGCAGCCCTCGAACTGGCCTCCACAGACCGCAAGAACATTGCCAAAATGTGACAGGTGTAGCCTACGAAGCCGCTCCCGTCGCCCAGCAACTGAGATACACTGCTAACGCTAACAACACACACCACAGATTACACATGGATCAATAACAAAGATTACACACGAGTATTTAAACTGTTGGATTTTGAGACCAATTTATTCTAATAATTCTCATCCAAATCTTATGGCTAAAAACGAAAAACTAAATAAAAACATATTTGTGGGATACATCTAAAATCGGCTAAATTACCTTAAAATTTCAAAAAACAGTGAGATGTGCATTAAATATTATCATCATTGTTAACAGCGCCACATACAGGTGTGGCAGATGTATTACATCTGTTGCCGTCGGGACGTGAATATTTATTGATCCGACACGTGTGTGGACGCAAATTTTTTTTCAGCCTGTAAAAAAAATAAATAAATAAAAAATCCAGGAGTGTTGTAGTGTGGACCTAGCATTAATGTAATGTAAATAAATTCCTATTCCTAAATTCACTTCTGTAACTGTTAGCCTCTGTGAACTTCATTTGACTGGAGCCGAACTTTATGGGTGATGTCACACTCCCTTAGTCCACTTCTTTACGCAGTCTACAAGTCTTTTTTAAGGGGGACCTGGCTAAAGTTCCTGGCAAAACTTCCTGGAAAAGGTACACTCCGATTTGAGCTGCCATGATAAAGGTTTTCACGTGTTTCGTTTGAGTATTTTGTGGAATACACAACATGAGAATCAATCAAAAAAGGTGGTACCTGTTTGCGTTCTCGTTTGGTGGGGATGTGCTGAGGGGGCTGTGGCGGGGGCTGTTGCTGTTGGGGTCCGGGGTTGATGATGACTTGGGCAGGCTGGACCGAGGCGGGGAACTGCTGCGCCGGGTAGTACGCGCCCGCTGGAGCTGAAGGACGGACACACAAAAACAGTGCATGGTTGAGTGAGTGATTCATTTATGTATTTCGGTCACAGGTTTAATCTGACATTGTTCCACAAACATATTTAACACACACAAACCGAAAAGCTGTAGGCTGAAGCTTGAACTCATTATGCCTACCTTTTATTTTTTTGTCATTGCATCATCGTGAAATTAGTGCATCTTCATAAATATAGCAAAACAAAACAAACAAGAAAGTAACAAAACAGCACGGTATAAAGTAAAGTATAAAGTAAAGTAAAGTACAAACTAAGTGGTAGTTGGTTGGTGGTTTTCAGATGACATCACAGCATTCTACACGACAATATTATTCAACACAGATGACTGGCAGCTAAAATTAATTTGGGAACATTCTAGGGATGTAACAATAACTGAAATATTGTGATATCGTATGGTCAAAGTTCTCACAATAATATCGTGGACCATCACAATATATCGAATCACAAGTCTCTTTGCTTAAATTAAGAGTTATGCTGCAGCAATAGCTAAAAAAGACAGAGAAACTACATAGACCATGATCCTTTGCTTCATTTCAGTGTAGACTACAAGAAGAAATAACAGTTCTAAGCACTTTTAAGTCTTAGTGCTTCGGATTAAGTCTTGTCAAGGCATTTTAAGAGGAAAAAATTAAATTTGACAGTTTTGTTTGCCTCGACAAAATATCGCAATAAATATCATACAGTGAGATGTATATCGTGAAAATATAGTACCAAGATATTGTTTGGATATTGTTACATCCGTAATCATGAACCTTCCCACCATATTGTGAGCTTTCCCAAGATATTGCAATAATCATCGTACTGTGAGGTTCATACCGTGACAACATCATATCGTAAGACTTGGATATTCTGAATTATATTGTAATACAGTGAGTTCTTGGGTTTAGTCCATGACTGAAAATACCAGGTTCAACATTTGTGAATGCACCTTTCCAATATTTCACGGCAAAGTACAATGTAATCAATAGGGAAAAGTAGCTCTTAAATCTCTCTCGCTCTTGGGAGTATGAAATCATCATATTCTAAAAATTGGAAAAATACCAATTTAAACATCTTTTCAAAGTGGAAGAGAGTGGTACAAGATATAAGGTCTTTTGTACAACTGTTCCAGGAGATAAACACAATTTCATCATGTTACTTCTGATTTTCTCTTTTAAAAATTTAACCATACCTCTGTGCTCATGGATTTTAATCATATTCTGCAACGATTTTGCCTTGAACTGTTTTCGACTTGCATGGATTTGTATGACAGCCTCATACCAAAACATATATAGACTTTATTTAACAGACCTTGGCATTATCGAGTGTTGGTATTACAACTTATCGTTTAATATATGAAGGCTGGAACTATATATTTAAGGGTTCAATATTGTCTTGTGTACAATTTCTTTGTAAATATGGAGAGATTTTGGGGTATTTTTGTTGTAATATAATCATGTTTAAGCTGTAAAAGGTTGAACAAGTCACTTCTCTGGCTAATCACTAACAAATAGTACATTCTCAGGCTTTTTTAATGATACTATCTATTTAAAAATGGTTCACTGGGATTATCTTGCTTTCTGTCAGTGGCATCTTGGTGTAACTTGGTGTAACTCAGTGTAACTTGATGTAACTCGGTGGCGGCGCTAACAGATCAGACTTCAATTTTTTTTTTTATCATGACAGGCCTATGATACCGGAAATTAAAGCAACACTGTGCAACTTGCTGGAGGTGGAGTGTCACCTGCAAGATACCATGGAAATACCGTAGTTAAAACCAAACTTTGAAACATTCTCCATGGGGATAAATAATATTACCTAATATGACGTAAAACATATGGCAAAAGGAACCACATTTCCATGGACAAAAGCAAGGGGGCGCACTTGACCCAATTGTACAGGTGAAGTTTGAAGAAATGAAAGTGAGTGAGCTAGTGGTGTCCTTGGTAATATCGCTCAATGCAACTTAAGTTTAGTTTAGTCTTGATATGAGGGAACACTAGCCAGGCTGGTGCCACCTAGTGCCTCCGCTCAATTTCATTTCTCTCCAGCGATTAGGTCAGGAATCGTAATACAATAGACGGTTCGCAAAAACCCCGGAAGTGCAAGTTCGGGCACCAGCCAATCAGCAAAGAGCCATATATTCAGTGTTGTCAACGATTCCCGAGATCGAGGATTTAAAGCCGGAACTAAGAAAATGTTTGTTGAATTTTATCAAGGGGAAAGACGTTATTGTCCTTCTTCCTATGCGATTTGGGAAATGCTTAATATACCAGTTAGCCCCGTTTGCGGCGCATTACATACATCACAACCAAATAGCAGCGATTGATTAAATAAAAAAAAATACCCGCCTAAAGCCGTGCGAACGAATTCTAACACTGTGGGGTCAGACGGTTTCTACAAAGTGGAAGTGAAACTGGCTGATGAATCAGGCTAAGGGAACACTGCAGTCTGGTTGAATGATTATGGAAAAAAAAAAATTAACTATATTTTTTAAGGACAAGCAATTTATGTCTTAATAATGTAATAATTTAAGTAATAATAAGAAGAACTCTGTCCAAGTTAACAAATAAAACATGTCTGGAAGAATTCACAAAAAGACTCAAAGATAAATAATGACTCAATGACTGAAATAATACCAGTACCTCACCAAGGGATTTTGGAATTACACCACTGTGCTGAATAACAAAAATTTGGTTAATTAAATGCCTATTACTATTGTACATGTATCATTCTGAAGGCCGACTCTGCACGAATAAATAGACAATGGTTCATGTTTTATAGGAATCTAACTGTACCCAAAGGCTCGCCCTCTTTCTTATAATCGCCTCAATTTCCTGCGCCCGCTAAAATGAGAAACACTCTGGCATTTTTGTTTTGTGAAGGAGCTCACCGGAGGAAAAAGGCTGGAGACCCCTGGCCTATACACTACTTTACACTATACTACATCTGGTTTACTGGTTTAAAAAATATTAAGAAAATAAATATGACTAATGAGAGCAAAGGAAGGACAATGAAAGACAAACTTAAGTTGGACATTTCACACCAGATTAAAAGGTGTACTATAAATATTGAATTTACATAGGCTGGTCATAGCTATTTTTTTAATTTTTTTTTATTTGATTATTTAATTGGTCTGATGCAAAATTTAGCTTTTTTTTTTTCTTTAGCAAAAAAATACACATGAGTAAAACGTACCTTTGGAATTTAAGGAAAAAGGCTTCAGGACAAACTGAAAACTGCAGCAGCACATACACGTTTCACTCTGCATACCAACCTATGAAAACTTAATTGACTTAACATTTTTGTCATTTTTAGCTGTTCTAATTACCCCCCGTTAAATCTGCCCAGACCAAGTTACAGAAGCTTCAAGCAAAATCCGTTAAAGCCATAGCATATTTTTGTATTTTGGATCCGTTAAAGGTACACTGTGTAACTTCTGGTGGAGGGTCTGCCATCTGCTTGTCTCTATAAAGATAATTCTGTTTTGAATTGATTATTCCACAGTATGGAGATAAACTCGATAATCACCATGGAGACAGGTTAATGGTCAGATCTCTGTACAAAAATATCAAAATATCAACATATCGTATCGTTTAATGTGATGCTACAGTATTGATATCATGAGCTGCTGTATCGACATAGCGCCAAGAGTATTTTTTGGTATATTTTACTATCTAGGGATGCAACAATAACCAAAATATCGTGATACCGCAATCTTGAAAAGTTGCACAATAATATCGTGGGGTGTCACAATATATCAAAATACAAATTCTTTTGCTTAAAAACATGTTTTTACAGTAGCAACAACTTATATACATAGAGAACTACATATCCCATGATTCATTTCAGTGCAAACAACATGAAGAGATATGCTTGTTACTTGAATTCTTGGGATTATAACGGAAATAATTCACACCGAAATCTTGTCAAGGTATTTTAAAAGCAGAAACATGTCCTATCTACAGTTACATTAGCCTCCCCAAAATATCGCAATAAATATCGATGCATATAATGATAATATCATACTGAGAGATTTGGATATCGTTACATTCCTACTAAAATTAGAGTCTTTTATATTAACTTTGCACAAAAAGTGGTTTAACAAAGACGGCCATGAGTTAGGCTTTATTTTTATTGAACCGCATCGAATTAATTTGAAACGTATCGTATTGAATTGTACCGAATCGTAAGCTCGCTGTATCGAGATATGTATCGTATCGTGGCGTATATATCGAGGTATTGGCAACTTCTTAACGATTACTGCACATGGTAAGAATTGAAGTTTGTTTAAGATTTTTTTGAGCTATAAAACACTTGAATTGAACAAATGCAAGGGAGATATGCTCAATTCTCTACTGTGGAATATTCCAGAGAACCATCCACCTTAGAAGTTACATAGTGCAGCTTTAATTCCATTTTAAATAAGTGAAATATAACATTCTTCGCCCACATCTGCAAACCTACAATCTGTGTTTACCTAATAATTCCTGCCTCACATTAAAAAGCTCAGTGTGACAGAGACCTGGGTCGCCGGGGTCACTCTGAGTAAATAAAGACCAGATAGAACAGAAGATGGTCGGCATAGTTTGAGTCCTGAATTCCAAAACACGGATTTGGCGAGGACTGCTTCCTATCACTGTTTTAACTAAACTTGACTCCTCATAAAGACAGCTCACCAAAGCGTTTACCGAGATAATCAAGTAGTTTTAAATATTTTTGTAAGACGTAAACAGCAGACTTCCTTTCCTTAAAGAGCTCGCATACCTCTAAGCTGTGCGCGTTTTGCCCTTTCCTCCAATCACACCCAGTAACCAAACATGACAAGTCACATTGGAGGTGCATTTTTTTCCATAAATCTTGCATATTTTTGAGTCCCCCCCTCCCCTTGCTTCACAGCAGTCACGTATCAACGCCATAGGTAGACTCTGCAAGCAATGACGGAGCAGTCTATAGGAGTCTTTGCAAAACTGTATTCCCAAGAGGTCT